AGTACAGTGTTTACTTTCGTTTCCTGTCGCAGCACCTCGGGCCCCAGAAAACAGCTTGGAGGACCACATGGCAGCCCACAGGCCGCATGTTGGACGAGCCTGCTTAAGAGGATCTCATGGCATCCTGCTCTAGAATTAGCATATGGTAAAGTCCATAGGCATTTTCGCCTGACAACACTTTAAAACCCCCCGTATTTCTAGTTTCTGTTCTCAAGAGTTATTGTGAGGATAATAAAACCCCAAGATTATGAACCATTTTGAATAAGGCAGACAAATACCTTCTTCTGTATGTGTGTTTATTGAATTTCCTAGTTTTTCAAAATTCTTCTCCCTGCCAATCAGCAACAACCTGTTTTATCAGGACCGAGCCTAAGACAACTGGCTTTCATTCAATTTTCTGTCTCTGCCAGACACTGGAGAATAAGATGTCTCCACCTGGGCTTGATATCAAAGAAATAGAAAGCTGACTGTCATTTGCATATTAGGGACGTTATAGCATAACAATCTTGTCAAGAAGTCAGAGACAATTTCTGAACCATTTGGGACTTGACATCTGAAAATCACCTACAAAGAAGAGCAGTCACTATAGAAAACAGTAAAGCCATGTTTAAGCAACTCTGTCCACCCCATCACATCCTGAGAATGTGACAACATTACCATATGATTAAGAGTATCAGTGTCTCCCTACCAACTTGCGTGCTCCTTCCCTGCTTCAGCAGGATGCTTGTTACACCATACATGAAATTGTGAACTGTAAACCATATCTCCTAATAGTACTAGATAACAGGACATGATTTTTCTCTTATATTTCAATAGTCAGTGAGTGGAAAACATTTTTCAGTTGACCTTCAAGGTCAGGCTGTAGAATAAAAACAACACCCTCCTAACAAAATAGTGACCACTGTTCAGGTTAGATTGTCACTGTGACTAAATAGTCCAGCACACATTTATTGGTCCCCCTAAAAAGACACTATAATTTAGTTAAAGTCCCAAAGGTAGGATTTCCTTTCCATTATAACCCATTGCTATATCTGGTTTTTAATAAATTAGATAGTTATGATCAGATACATACGAACTTTATACAGGGAGAGACAGTTTGATAAGTTTATGAACGGGTTGATATGCCCTAGTTGCCTGCAATTGCAGGGGACAGGACTAGCTCACCCAGGAGATACCTTCCAATCCTGTGTTTTATTAATTAAATAAATTGATTTGTTTCCTCATAAATGTTTTTCAGTCTCCACATTCTGTGACAACTAAAAAAAATAAATTTGCTGAAGTTTCTGATGGTGTTGAATAGGTAATATATTATCAATACTGATTAATTTAGTATTCAGTGTAATACTAAATGTGCTTTAGCCCCAATATGCTTTTAAGGCAATATTATGCCAAAGTGTAATAATGGAGTTACTACACCAAAGTGCAAAAACATAGTTCATTATGAGATTGCATGGCATTAGCATAGATGCTCCTGGATGCCTATGACATTCTTTATTCTATTGTAATTACTGTGTACTATTAGAAAAGGAGCTGAAAGAAAACCTGGAAATAAGCCTTTTATGCATCATGCTAAATTATGTGCTCAGATAAAACTAATTACTGTACAATTTAATTGCCATAAACACACCCTTAAAGAGTGCATAGCATGTTTGGAAATGATTTGGTTATCAAATATTTAAATTAAGGTATGGCCCTTCATCTCTGTTCCCATATTATACATAGTATTTTAAATTAATTGGTTTTTTTAGTAAATTAATCTACCATTCTCTCAAAGGACCCTGACTCATTGAATCCTGCACATAATAAACACATAACACTGATTATAAGCCAGAGATTCTAGCCATAAGAATACCCACATTGACATTATGTTGGAGTCACAGACTAGAAATCTAGCTATATTATTTGTATTTGAGTTATTTTGTCATATCATGCCTTTGATTTCAATGCAAAACTCCCACTGCCCTCAAAGAGCATCACGTGGAATGATGGCAGGACAGGGCTCTTAGAGAGTTTGATTTAATGAATGCATTCGTGCCAATTAATTATATGTTATGTAATTAATTGCTTGGTATGATGAAAAAGCATTACCATTTTTTCCAGAAGCTTGAGATCTGAGAAGATTGATTACTGATTTCACACCCATTTTATTTTTTACAGTACCATCAAAAACCATTCTGTACAATGTCATTTAAGTCAGAATAACTGCTGCAAATAAATAAACCAGTGAAGCTAAGAGCTGATTCCCCTCAGAATGCCATGCAATCTGACCTTTTCAAAATCTGTATGTGGGTTACTCTGGCAATAGCAATAAGTATGACTAATGAACTCATTAAGCATTTCCCACATACTGTTTTACATATAATACAGCAATTATTATCATTAAAAGGGAAACAAGAAAGATGTGTTTGGGGATATATTAATTTTTGTAAGTATAACCTGAATGTGTTAAGAATTTAAATATGTTCATGTCACCTAAGCAGCAAAGAAAAAAAGAAGAAAAAATATATGATAATAGGCTGTTTTCAGAAGGTTTTTTATTATAATTTGTTTTTCCTGTTGATGCCAAGAAAAAAATTCCTGTTTTCTCAGTGTGCAGAACCTATCCAGCGTATGAGTCATGCATTTTCATTTTCACAGTATACAAAGTATTTTAAGCCACCATTTTGGACAATGTTTTTCCTTGTAAAATACTGTTCAGTGGGAAGCAATCAAGAAAATTGCAAAAACCTGCAGTTAGATCTGCTCAGATAGACCTACTTGGGTCTGACATCAGAAGTGAGGCTTGATTTTGCTAGAGCCACACTGTAGTATTAACTATGAAACCAATAAAAAAATCCTAAAGTTGTCAAACTCGCAGTGAATGAACCAAATTCTGCTTTCAGTTTAATTAAACTAGAGAAACTTTTGCTGATGTCTCAGACTTTGACATAATGGGTACTACAGAAGTGATATTTGTTGCATGATCAGCCCCTTGAAAGCTCTCTACAGTTGTGCCTTGATAGAACTGCATTGCTGCATAGCACTTTAAAAGTGCCCAATCGTCTGGCAAATTAATCCTCTTTTAATGAGGGTTCAGATGAAGGCGCTCCAACGTGGAGCACCTTCATTAACTTCTGTTTGTCCCTGTACTAATTGGGGGTGGTCTGATGCAGCCCAGCCCCACTCCCAAGTGCTGTCTGCAGGATGGTGGGAGGTGGGATGGGGAGGGAAGGGAGCTCTGGTCTGTGGTTTACCCAGCCTGTGCTGGAGGGGAGGAGGTGGGAATTGGAGGCCACCCAAGCTTGATCCCCCTCGTCCCTTCGACCAAACAGTGAATGTGAAGTGCCATGATTTACAGCGGGGAGCTGCACATCTGTTAGCGCACAATAGTTTACAGCTTTTATTCAATGGGAGTTTCTCCTGATTAGGATTACAAGATCAAACCTTAAAATATTTTATTTTTTCTTGGTGTGAACATCTCACAACAAATCTCATTAGGCAAAACAGTTCCATAGCTTTTGTAACCAACCATATGCAACTGATATATACTTTGGGTTCTGCACATCCTAAGCTTGCATTTCTACACACTGATTGCTATAAAAGACAACTCTAACGAGGGATGGATAGCACATGTAGAATATACAATCTTAGGATAGGTGAACAGATTCATATAATAGGACAGAGCTGTTCAACTGTTGGCTCACAAGCTGCAGGCAGCCCCAGAGAGAAAACTGTGGCCCCCTGGGCTCCCTTTCTAGGTGCCATGCCCCCTACTGCTCATGCTGGAGTCTCTGGGCTCCCCTTCACTCCTCCAGGTTCTCTTGCCCACTCTTTGGGCCAGACTGGGACTGCAAGGCCCAAAAGGTCAGCATGGTGCAGTGTGAGGGCACCCAAAGGGAGACCGATGCAATGCAGCAGGGGTGCAATGGGGAGGCCATACAGTACAGTGTAGTGAGAGAGGCCCATGCAACATGGCGTGGCACAGTGAGGCATGGTGTGCAGCCTGTGTAGCAGACAGTCCAAGGAACATGTCCACTAAAAGGTCTGACAGCCTGTAACAGGAAGCAACCTGCTCCTTTGCTCAGAACACAAGCAAAACTTAAAAAGACCAATCTATAAGGTACAAAAGAAGTTGGACATTTGTTTTGATTTCCTTTGTTTTACTTTGACTAGGAACAAGAGTTGAAGCAGAAGACAGACAGAACGAGACCTGGAGGTTTAGCTGAAATCCTATCAGCACAGGATCTGAGGTCAGAGGCTAGTTTAGTCTTCAGACTTCCCTTATGCAGCCCAAAGGCACTCTAAGTTATGTCAGCATTGATGATCTCAGAGGTACTGGCTGTGTATTTCTGGAGCACAAGGTGTTCACTGCATCAACAGAAATAAGAGTGCTGCTTTACATCACCTGGGAATTCTCTTAGATCCGGTGAATAAATAGCTGCCTTGTTAGTGTTATGGAAGCCTACCTCAGCTGCCTGAGGAATACTTAGCCATGGGCCAAGGAATACCCCACTGCCTTCTGGTATTTCTCATTTCTCATCCCAGTGGAAACAGAAAAACTAGAAATCATGTAAGCAAAGCTAATCTGGTGAGATTTCACCAGATTTAAGATCAAAAGGAAGAAGTAGGAATAAACTTCAAGCAATATCTACTTCTGATTCTCTATCACCATATAACCTGTGAGGTTAATCATGCCCCTATCCAGCCAAACATTTGAGTATATGATAATTCTACAACATTCAGAAAGCAGTTAGGCATGTCCTTAGGATCCACTGACTTCACCAAAGCAGAGGCAAGGGAATTTTGTGTTAACATGTCCTTAAATGCTTTATTAAATCAGGGGTTTTACAACAGCATGAAGTGGATGTAAAATGCTACTATTTTACAATGATAGAGTTTACATACATTTTGCAACTACTCAAGGTAGAGAGTGCTGGAGAATCAGGATGATGGTAATATAACATCATTTAAATGCAATCTGATATATTGGTTAATTAGTTCAAATTAGCTTGTATACTTACTGTGCCCCACCAGAGAGCATCTGCGTAAGTAGAAAACTGGTTATTTGCATCTTTTTCCACCAGATAAACAAGAAAAGATGAGAAGATGAGTACTAAAAATCCTATGTACCAGGCTGTGATTAGTTCCTAGATAAAAGAAAGTAAGGATCAATATCTATTAAGAAGATTAAACAGATACATTTAACAATCTATGTACTATCGTTTAGCATTTAAAAATCAATTGGTCCTTTTTGTCATAAATAGCCTCTGAACAACCACTTCACTGAAAGAGTTGTGTAACTCCACTGATTTCAGTGGAATTACAGCAGCATAAGACTGGTAATAAAACAGCCCAATGTTTTATCTTATTTTTAAAAAGTACAACTGAACCTGAAAAAATGCATCTTAATAATAGACAACACAGCCAACATTACTGTAAGAAGTTTCAGGTATTTATTAGAATCTGATAATATTTTTTCCCTTAGGCTCATGTTGGATCCTCTGAAGTAATCAATTAACAGTCATGGGAAAAGTTTATGAAAAATGTAACTAGTTAAAGTTAAAAGTTAGCAACCTTTAAAATTAACTTGAGTTAAGTTAAAAGTTAAGTATTTCCACTTTCAACTAGTTTAAAGGTAAGTTAAAAAGACAGTAACAAGTTAAGTTGCTTCGTGAGAAATGTGTGAAACACAGTGAATTGCCTGTTAGCATCATTTTTCATTTTCAAATGCAATGAGTGGGTTTCATTTCCATAAGCCCACAGAAGCACACTAATTTACTCAGAACTCACCCTGCTTTAGCTGAAAACAATGTTATACTTGTCATAGTTTTCAGAATAACAATTTACCAATACCTATGTAATGTTAGATTCTTCTCACCCTCTCCATGTGAAGTACTTTGTAAAAGTTAATGCATCATATAGGTATACCAGAATAACAGAAAGGAGATATTCATAGCCAGGTAACAAATGTAAGCTGTTTCCACAAAAAACCTCTGTTGTTACAATTTTTATTGCTCAAAAGGTAACAAAAGTGTATAAAATACATCTGAATTAGAAATAATGAAAGTGTATGAAAATAAAAAATTAGACTGAAATGAGAAAAGCAGTTTAAATGAGAAAAAGAATGTTCAGTTGCATAGCAGAAACTGTTTAAACATGCTTATTGAACTTCAGAAAAGCTGCATTTCAAAATTTACATCTGACAATTTTCCTCTTCTGTCTTGCAAGACTAAGCCCCCACTACTGAACAATCATTCTACACAGGCAGATAAGGGAATGCTTGTTCCCTCTCTTGCAGCGAACTGGCTACCCTGTTGACGTCTGTAAATGCACAGGAAATGCCGGCATGAACTAAGGAACTCTGGGACTTGTAGTTCTTAAGAGACCATATCTCATAGGAAGGCACACTACTCTCTGACTCTCAGACAAGAAATCCTAGCATTTCAATAAAGAAATATCATTCTATGCAAGTCCTAGAGAGTGGCTATGTCAGGAAAAACTCTGGGAAAGCTGGATTTAATTTTTTTTTAACTTTTAACTTATACTTTAAGAAAAGTTAAAGTTAACCTTTTTAAAAACTAATTAAAGTTAAAAGTTAGCCATTTCTTTAACTTTTTAACTAGTTAATTAACTAGTTAATTCCCTTGACTAGGGTATTGACATAAAACAATTTACTGGGGGAGGGGGACAGAGGGAGCAGGAGAAGGGATGGGATGGGACTTTACCCTGCAGTAAATGGAACCGAACCATGGCAACTGAAGGCAAAGTTACTGAAGTTTGGTTTTCATCTACAGTGGGGTATGCATATCAGCAGTTACTATGGAAGAGTTGATGTGTGATAAAGCCTGACCCCCTTTTACCTCAGGTGAAAGATAAATGAATTGGACTGCAGGGGTACTTACCTTGCTATGTGCATACACTACTGAACCTAACAATTTCCAAGTCCCTCCTCTTCGGTCCATGCGCACCATACGGAGGATCTGTAGGAAACGAAGACTTCTCAGTGCTGATGTTGCAAAAATGTTACCCTGAGTTTTTGCAGAAACAACTGCTATTGAAGCGATGAGAACAATGATGTCTGAAAGAAATACATTACAGAAGATATTAATGTACACACCCCAATCATTCACATATATGTACATGAGTTGAATAAAGGGAGTTGTTGACATAGAGAGGAATGTTCCTGATGTTCTTTCTCCTATGCAAGTCACTGACTGAGTTGGGACTGTGTGATCAAGGGTAGTGTAAAAAGGGTATTTAGAGACCCTTCAGGATGAAAGCTGCTAGATAAATTAGTAATATTAAAAACTGCAATAAAAGGGACAGTATTGAAGGAACCAGTTGCCTTGTGAGGGTTCTTTCAAGGTCTATGCATAACACTATATACATCAACAGATGATCTAAAACATTTCCCTATAGAACCATTCCCTCATAGCCACATTATCATGAAGTTAGACAAAAATAGTAAGAGAAAACAGAACTCTCTCAGTGTTACAAGTTCAATAGAACCATTTAGTTTTACAAATAAAGCTTACCATATTTACTTGAATACAAGATGAGGTTTTTCCCTCTAATTATGATGGGGGGAAAAGTCCCATATCTTATATGTGCCTTTCAGAAAACCTCATCAAGTATACTGTCTATCATTAAACTACTGCCAAAAGCAGCATATGCTCAGTAATGGAAACTGAAATTTTAATTAAATGCAGCCAACGCTGGGTATGGCCATAAAATACATGACCCATATTGGACAAAAATGCTGATGGGAACTTAGCATAAGGATAGATTACTACAGGCCATCTGAAGAAGATATAAAATAATGTTCATTAAGTACAGTTCACCTCAGTGCTGACTCTTTTACAATTATGGTGAGCCACTACACTACATACATTTTGACTTTATTCCCACAACTGAACTATGCCTTTCTTTCCCATTTCCATTGAGTCCTGTATCTTCACCAGCCTTAAATGTCTGGCAAATATCACCAAATGGGGGCCCAAAACAGTTCACCCAGAATCCCTCTGTCACCCCCTCTCGCAGCCTGTAGCATATGATTAGTGTGCTCCCAGCCTCCAGGAGGTAAAGCTGGACCAGGTTGCCCTGAGCGTCATCTGTATATATATTTTTGGAGCATTCCAGGACTTGTGACAAGAACACCCTGTTCCAGTCATGAGACAGCAAGCTCCTGGAAGCACCACAGAAGTGTTATTGACATACCCTAAAATGTATAAGGAGTTCAGGGCCTAGTTCAGGACTGTGGGTTCCAGTTCAGGAGGCAAGCACTTAAAAGTTAGGCAAGGAAATGCATAGGACCACAATGCCCAAGTCTTTTTTTTGGATCTAGTCCTATGAAACTTGTCCAAAGCTTGATGAAGTATATGGGTGACGGAAGATAAAGAATGCCCAACCCTGTAGATATCCACTCCTCTGCCCAGCTATTCATTTCACTCTCTCCCACCTACCCCCTTGTAGCACGCCTCTGTTTTATCTACTCTTCTTTCTTACAAGATGACAGTGACAGCTGCAGTATGGTCACATTTCCTAGGCCTATGGGAAGAGTGCTCCAGTTCTGTATCTGCTCTCTTCCTTCTCTTTCCCTTACCCTGGCTGTGCAGTTCTATGATGGTGAGGTGAGAGGGAAGAGATGAGCAGAAGACAAACTAGACCATGACTGATTCAAAGGTAGATAGAAGGGGGGAGGGCAATCATGAGCTGTTGAGCACTTTCTCTTCCCTCTTTCCACAGCTGACAACTCCTTAGGCTCCGAAGGGGTAGAGAAATGGGTGACAGAAGGGCTTCCTTTTCCCATGAGCCACTTAAATGGGAAAGGCAGGCATTCAGAGGTGGTTTTCTCCAAGGAGGTTTAAGTTTTGGTATGGGCTAGGGCGTCTTCTGTCACTAACAGAATAATACAGTTTGAAGGGACCTTAGAAATCATTTGGTCTCACCCATAAAGCACAATCCATAGTTATACTTGGACCATCAACCTTTTATTCATAGCCAAATGCACCAACTGATTATATCAGAAAAACAGGTACGGCTCCAGATCTGATTAGAATCTCATAACTTACTATGGCAAGAGGTTGGCAACACTGGGTGCATCTACACGTGCATTAATACGCTGTTGTTGGTGAGCATTATGTTTAGTACCTCTAATATGAGGTACTAAGTGCACAGTAACTGGTTCACTGTGCAGTAGGACTGGCATACAGTCTTTTTGTGACACTCAATGTGCAGTAAACTAATTCTCCTGAGCAACAGCACTTAGCACGGTTTTTGCCATGATGCACTAATGCACAATGGAATTAGTCTACTGTACATTTAGTGTCTTGTGTAAACATGCCCACTTTATACATATTACCCCAATCAGCCTGTAGCAGGGAAGGGCCATTGGCCATTACCAGCTTTAGAGTAGCTACGGCTAGTGCTATGCAGCCCTTCCATTGTATAAACAGAAAGAAGGGTTGTGATTTTGGTGATTTCCTGCATGGACTCCCTCCCTTTATACAGTGGTGGAGTCAGGCCACATTCTAGTTCTAAAAGAATAAAGAAGAAAATGTAAAAAAAGAGCATAGTTACAATTAAAAATAAATAAGAAAAAACTGCAAATGGTACTCAACCTACATGCTCAAAACTCATAAGACAGGCAAAATTAACTTCAATAATACCATTATGATTCTCCTCAAGACAACTAGATTTCAGTGAAACTAAATCAAAGACAAAGGAAAAATGGACCTAAGTAGACTTTTATTAGATTATATCTAAATAAACTTTTCACCAATGAAATTTCTTTCTCCATAAGTCACACCCTATTGGAAGACAGTGTCCCAGCCAAAAAAGACTCACTCTTGTGATTTTTAAATGGATATAATTAAGGCTGCAGGAGTACTCTTATTTAAGTTTCATGAGTTTTATTTCAGGCTAACTTAAATTGCTCAGCAACAGGTTTAAGATCAACTGAAAAAAACCACACAGAGTGAAATAATAATGTCCTTGCATATTTCTTCAGTGGTTTAAATATATCTGTTTAAAGTAGCACTGTAAGATCTTGTTTACTCAAGGAAGTTACTGTGACTAGGGACAAGAATTGTACATAAACTAGATTAGAAACTGGTTCAAATCTGTAACACAACAGGGCTAGGGACAGACATTACATATAAACTGGTTTGTCCAGAGGCTGGCAATAGCAGCATTGCAGGCGCTGCTCCCGCATGCAAGACAGGGGAAGCAGTGTCCTGCTTCAGGCTGGGGATGATCTTTCCCTAGCCACCTTAATTTTAAAGCTCACAGGAGCGTCCTTCTCCCTTAGTGGGAGAAGTACGCCGGAAAACAGGAGCTCAGCCCTCTGGGATCAGGGTTTGAGGCTCCAGGTGCCTTAACATACGGGCAACTGACCGGTGCTGAAGCTGACACTGGATCCCTTTAAAAGGGGGCTTGCTGGGAATGGCGGAACCACGAGCAGAACACCAGAGTGGTTGGCGAGTGGTAGGGGAGGCAGAGCCCTGAGAAAAACCGCGGCACTGCTGTGAGTACCCCTGTCATTGGGTCACTGGGGAAGAAGAATACCACTGAACCCCTCCTTTCTTCAGGTAACAACAAGCATTGCAGGTGAGTTGGTGGACCCCGACCAAGGGGGCAGTGTGGTACTGACAGCATCCACTAGAGATGCCACAGTGGTGCACTGGCTGGGAATCGAAATTACTATGCTAGCGGAACAGTGATCCCAACCTGGGTGGAAGCAGACATGCAGGCACTGGCAGTAGCCCACATGGAGCTCCTGATGCAAGCCATCCAGGCAATAGGGCAGGTGCTGGAAATACAACAGCTGCAGGGTGCCCACCAGCAGGAGTGGATGCAGCGTAATGCTGCCCTGTTTAAGATGACCTAGATGATGTGGGATGACGACCCCGAGGCCTACATTGAGGCGTTTGAGAGGACGGCCCTCCAGACCGGGTTAGACTGCACTCAGCGGGCCCACCAGTTGGATGCCCTAGTGGTAGACTGAGCTCAAGTGGCCTTCTGGGTGCTGTTGAGGGAAGATGCCCATAACTATGATACGGTGATGGCCACGATCTTGTACTGGCTTGAGATTTCACCTGAAAGCCATAGGCAGACCTTCCGAGCCCAGAAATCAAAGGAGGTCAAGAGGCCTCACAGCTTACTACAGTACCTGCAAGACGCGCTAAATAAATATCTTCCCGTGGGTCGGTTCAACCAAGATGGGGTCATAGACCAGGTCCTGTTGTATCAATTCCTTTGGGACCTGGAGGAGGACATTCAAGTATGGGTGAGAAGACACCAACCACACAGCAGTGAAGAAGCCCTGCACCTCGCAGAGGCTTTTGCCACCTCAGAGAATGAGTGTAGTCAGGGGCGAGCATGACCCAAGAAGAGGAAAAGAGGATAGGGCCTCAGAAGGGGATGATGAGGGGTGTAGTCTGCTACCATTGTGGCCGTACCGGCTATATCGCAAGGGAGTGAGGACTGGGTTTTAGCGAAATAAGTCACGGATTAGCAGCATCCACCCTGCCTAGAGAGAGAGCAAGGGAAGCCGACTGAGGTGAGCCCACAGGTTGTAGTTTTGGTACTACCTGACAGGAGGGAGGCTGGGAACATTTGGTCGTGATGGCCTGGATCGGGCAGTGTGAGCAACCCTGGACACGGGATGTTCACAGTCCCTACTCCATGCAAACATGGCCCCAAAAATGAGGGTGAGGGAGGCTGGACCTTTAGTGATGACCTGCATCTTGGGTGGCGAGAAGTGCTTCCAGAGTTGCTACCTCCCCCTGAGAGTAATGGAGCTCCGAGGCAAACTGAGGGTCGGCCTGGCTCCAGCGTTGGCCTACAAGATGATTTTAGGCCGAGAGTGGGGACCATTTTATATGGTGCTAGAGTGTGTAAGAACAACCGAAGAGGAGAGAAAGTGATTAAGAAGAAGGCTGGGCAGGAGAAAAAGCCTCCCCGCAGGATGGACCTGTTCGGGACAGCATTGACATGGAGCAGGTAGCAAGTACAGTGCAGTTTCGTTGAGCACAACAAGAAGATCCAGAGCTGCAACAGCTAGTAACCAAGGACCCA